GGGTTATGGGGAATGGGGAGCAGTCGGCTGGGTACTGAGCATCAGCTTTGAATTCCCAGCAGAATACCTGTTAATGGCTGCCCCACCATTAATTATCTTTAATTAGTAATGGCAAATACCATGACAGGGTTGTCCTTCTTGCCTTTCTTAAACATGGTCACAACATCAGCCTTTTTCAACCACCAAGGATCTCTTTCAACCACCAGAACCTCTCGCAGAGAGCAGCCTTGCAATCACACCATCCTGGTCTCTCATGTGAATCCCACCTGTCCTGCTGGATCTGAAGGCATCGAGATTCTCCAGGCAGAACACAACCTTCTGCTCTCTGCCGTTGTCTTTCCCATTCTTTAAAGCACGTGGGTATACACTAAGGTCTGGAGGCAGCCCCTGCTGAAGCTTATTGCCCATCTTCTTCTTGTACTTTAATTCTCTGAATATTTTAAGTACAATTTAATCCCTTATGTACTCCAGTTTACATACTACATAAGCCATAAGGAAAAATATACTGAACAACACATGATGCCCTATTTTCAATTTTTCTTTTCCAAACAGTTTCGTCCTTTCTTGAGCTGTGATTCAATCCTAAGGACAAAATATCTGCATTTTCTGATACTCATAGGTTGTTTTCCCCATTTCATAAAAGCAGATTGAGTAACCTGAAAAACTAAGAATATGGATAAAATTCTCGAATTCCCTTTTTTTTAAATGCTTTTAGCAAACTTTTTGGACAGTGTATTAACAAAATTTTTCTGCAGTTCCTACTTTTTATTTGAATTTAGGAAAAAAAAATCACACAGTATGAAGCAGTTGGCTCATCATCAAAGCAAGCAGACAAACCAGATATCATTAATACCCTATGGCCAAGAAACTTTAGCATAATTGCAGGGCTGTATCACACTGTCATCAACCTCTGCATCGTCTAGACTCTCACTCAGACATAATCTTCAGGAACTCTCCAATCTGCTGAGAGCAATAAATACAAAATAAGGTAAGGCTTATAGACTTAAAAATCTAATTCATGTTAGAAACAAAACCTTTTGGTTTTAGCACAAATGTACAGAAATCAAACTTGTTCGTAATCCTTTGATGTTTCTGATGCAGCTGCTGATTTACATCCTGAATACCAACAGGTTACTAACTAGAGGTTATATTTGACTGTTTTCTGTGTGAATATATTTGTTCCTCTGTAGAAAATATAAATGTGCTCGATAATATTTTTTTTTTCCTCAGTGGAATACACAGCAAAACAAGAGGATATTCCTATAACCCTAGCATTTTTGATGTTTTGAAAGAGCCACACAGATGCCTTAGGATGCAAAAAATTGTATTTAATAACAACTACATCATGCAAGACTTAACCAACCACAAAAACACACACACATACACACACACACACAAGGTGCATGGACAGGGCCCTTCATCTTCTGAAACAGAAGACAGCATGTAATGGGATCTCAAGCACTTATTTAACAACACATTATCTATTATGGCCTTGCTAAAGGAATTACCAGTTGTAACTATAAGTGCAACTCAGTGCCATGCAAACTTTGTAGTGTTTTCAGTGCTACATTTTTAGTATATCCATTTTCTACTTAGATTAGCTGCACAAATTGATAGTTCAAGGAGACACTGGACAGTTTTTCAATCAAATGTAATTAATAGCAATCAGTATATCCCAATTACAGTAAAATCATCTCAGTCTGAGACAAGGCAAAGTTATCTGATGTTAGAGCTTCAGATACTTGTGAAAAAAAACCCCACTTACAGTGAATTAAATCAAGACTATGGAAAATCATAATAAAAAAGCATTGGCAGTAATGCTACTCGAGGGAAGTACAATTAACAGGGCGACCACTGCAAAAAGGTAACTTGAAAAATGGGAAGGGAGGAGCAGAAGGGTTGTGAGTCTTTTCCTTCCTCCAGACATTCGGTACAAACCAAATACTTCTGAAGCATCTTAACAGCTCTGTTTTCAGAGGCTGCTCCTCGGAAATGATGTTATCACTTTCTGGCTTTTGTGACTAGTGAAGTTATTATAAAACCAAGATGCTCAGGGCTTACCGAAGATAGTGTCGGATGTTTTCTACTTTCATTTCAGCCACAAATTTCTGCCGCACGTTTTGATAGGCATCTGAAGAGCTGGGGTTTTTTTCCGTCTGCTTTGTAAACCATCCTGAAACACATTTGAAAAGCTTCCTGCTTAGCAAGAACCCCAGCCCTTACATATTTGAGCCCATGTGCAACCTAAAGCACAGAACAGTCTCAGTAAAATCAAGAGGATGAACTGGGCTTAGAGCACCCTCTGTCAGCATTTGGTGGCTCAAACACAGAAGCAAAGTAGAAAAGTAAGATATACTTCACCGACTGATCTACCAGAAAAAAGTGACATAATTAAAAGACCACATCTTAAATCTCTGGTAGATACAGTCCTCTTTTTATCTTTCATTAATTTAATTTTAAACTATAGTTTATATTCTCATTTAACTGTTCACAGTGTGCAGATTGAACTTGTTACTCATGATGAAATTCCCTGATTTAATTTCTACATATATTTAAAAATATGTGGATAAACATATTTAAGTGAAGGTCGAGGACCCAACAGCCATCCTACCAGCATTATAGTAGTTACAGATTTGGGGAAGAGTGGGGTTAGGCTATTTATTCCTTTAACTGGAAAACAAACTAACCCTGCCCTTCCTCAAATCTGACCCATGTCAGTTGTAAAAAGTTGAAGATTTTTTCAGTAGCCATAAATCTACAAAGAGAGAGTATATCAAATATATGATATTTTTTCTTTAAAAAATAACCCAAAGCCTGTTATAACCAGAAAATCTCAAACTGGGAAAAATGTCATAATAAAGCCAAGAATATGGGCTGTCACATCCACGATATAAATATGACCTGTCAGACTTAAATGCAATTGTAGTAACATTTTGAGCACAACAGCAGCACTGGATGAAGAACAAAGGTCCATTCTGCCCAGTGTCCTGTTTTGGAGCATGGCCAAAAGATGACATTCAGAGAAATGTACAACAATAGCACAAGCATCAGAAATTTGCAGCTCAGGGATCTCTTAAATCAAAGGAATGTGATTTTTTTATACATATTTAGTAGCCCTTACGGATTTTCCTTTTCGTGCTTTAGCCTTAGGTGTGTGCTACCACACAAGTTTAAAAATGACAGATGCAGACATGCAATTTTAGGCTTCGAATAGTGCACGTGACTGCATAAAAGAATCTGAAGTTCCAGAAAAAGTTTGTTGTAAAGTTCATTGTACATGAAAAATTCGGCAACTCCACTCTTGGCTGTCAGTCAAAACTCCTCCTCCTCCACATTTTGCCTTTAATTTCTAAACCAGCAACTGAATAGGAGCATTTAAATATGTCTCCGGTAAAAAGCAGGAAAGACATTTAAGAAATAACCCTGGAGGTTTGGCAGTCACAGAAGTCTCAAACTCTTGTGTTAATCGCTCCTCTCTGAAACTCATTCCCCAGGCTCGGCTTGCGCTGCATCACGCAGCCTTCATCTTCCTCCCTTCCCTGCGCTCCAAAACCGCGGGAGGAGTGTTTTATAACGTCCCTAAAAAGCAGCAGAAGCTCCCTGACGGGGAGTTAATCGCACCGGGGGCTGCACATCAGCCTCTGCGGAGGACAGAAGCTGCGGGCTGAGCCCCGTGTCCCGGTACTCACCCGCCAGAAAGCCCAGTAAGAAGCAGCCCAGCAGCCCGGGGCAGCCCAGCCATGCGCGGGCAAGGACCTTGCTCCTGCCCATACCCGGGCCCCGGCCGGCGGCTCCGCAGGGGGGGCAGGGGGGGGGGGCGG